CAGCAGCAGCCCTAGTTATACCACACAACATCGGCTGTTCCCTAGCCCGAGATCTTCAGCAGCCACGTCTCGGATCTGCCCAGGAAACCAGCCATGCTGCAAAACGCAAAGATAGCAACCATGGAGTGTCCTCTTTGGGAGGAACGGTTTCTCCATGCTGTCCGAAACATTAGACGCTCAAGAATTCTCTTCTCAGCTGTCCAATTGCTTTAAAAGACAGTGTCCAAACCGAGGGATGTGCTGGCTCCATAAATTAAAAAAAAAAAATCAAACTGGCAGTTCTCCCTTGGACTTGAGCTGGAAAAAGGCTTTAAATTGTTTGATGTGTCAGATTTAATTTGTGTCGGGGCGCATATTCCAGGGCAGGAAACAGAACTACTCAGTCTGTACTTTGTATTGCACAGTATTCCTTCACTCTGTACACTGTAGCTAAAACTAGCTACAGCATCTGCTTTCCAACTGATTCATCCAATTCATTGTCATGGGGGAGCTGGAGTCTAGGGAGACTAGCGAGGCAGGGTACACCCTGGGCAGGACACCAGTCCATCGCAGGACACACACAGACAGAAACACCAGGGCCAATTTTCCCAGAAGCCAATTAACCCACCAGCAGGTCTTTGGATTGTGGGAGCAAGCCAGTGCACTTGCAGGAAACCCACACAAAACTTGGACAGAACATGCAAACTCCAACCAGGCCGCACCTCGGGAATCGAACCCGGGATCCCAGCACTACCAACCACTGCCCCACCCCGCCGCCCCTAACTGGCCACAGTTAGCTATAAACTGTGACGCCTCATTGTCCAAACTGAGCTCGAGTCACATAAGGCACTGGCGAGAGTAACAGCAGTACACGTAAAAGCGATTTAACAGCGCCGCGCTCGAAAAGCTGTTGCGCTCTCGAACAACAGGAGTTGTTTTTCCATTGGAAAGCACGCGAGGCTGAGAATGCGCGACTTTACTCTGGGCTACACGGGTCCGCACATCCAGAGGCACGACCGGGATTCTCCCAGGTCTCTTCATCAACTTCTGATCGACATCAGTCGTCTTCCCCAACGCCGTCTCGTGAAAATCAGAGAGGGGAAAAAAAACCTAGTCCAGCCTCGGGCCCCCCGTACTGAGCTAGATTTCACATCCGTTCCCTCGGCCTCCCTCCAGCTCTGCTCCGAGAGGAAGCTGAAAAACAGCAGCTCTCCAGTCCGGCGCGGACAGGAAAGACCCTGGCACTGCGCACAGACGCGGGGGACGTTTGTGCCCAGCAGGAATGAAGAGAGAGAGAGAGAGAGTCCAGGGCAAAGGGCATTTCACAGGACTGGGCAGCGGATCTTCGGGAAACACACTGCCAATTTCCTAACAAACGCCACACCAGCGAAGACAGACTCAGCTTTCACTTTTCCTAAGCAGGGAGCGCCAATGCCCTGTTTGTATACAGTTCGTCGTCCCAAACACTTTTAATGACACTGGGAATGGTTCATTGTAAAAGCACTTGCTCCACTCATCTATTGTAGCGTTGAGTAACGAGAAAACACAGGGTACAGAGGCTACTAAAGATTTAGGAATTGCTCCTTTTTAAGCGGATAGTCTACCTACCTGGACTACAGATGTTAACGTTAGTCATTCCTGCAGTTTTGTTTACAATAAAGCAGGGCTGTGGGAGCAGAATTGTTCTGTAAGGAAAGAACAGAAAGCCTTGAATTTTTCAAACATTTCTGCGGTCTTAAGAGACTTCACACCACCAGGAGTGCCCACAACAATTATTCACTGAAATGTGAAATGGCTTTCAAATGCCAACACGAGCAATCCCACAAAGAGAGATTTATCGAGGTCCGAAACGCGCTTTTGCTGCAAATAGTTACCCACAGATCTTGGTAAATGCTTTTTGTAGTTTAAAAAAATATATCGGCCTTGATTTCCTGCAGGTCTAGACACGATACACAGACCGTGTCTCTGGAATGGCTAAATTACACAATACCAAGTCAAATTCACTCTTAAGCCATCTCTGTTTGTGATCAGGTTGGGCTATCCTATGCCATGCGGACACTAAATAAATAGGCTAGTTCCCAGGAACACAGCACACTCGGTTTAGAAATTCAACTGTGAGAACCGAGTGCCACAGGAAGCTCAGCTTTCAATAACACTGAAAAATCTGCAACTTCAAAATGAGGTCTTTCTTCACCTCCAGAGTGCCAGGGATTGTTCTGCCCGTGAGCTACAAAACTACAGCAAGATAGGTTATCTGAAGGCGCTGAAAGATGAAAATATTTTTTCCCCCAAGACAGAAGATTTAAAACCCTGCAGCTGCACGGCTTAGGATTTCAATGGCACAGAAACACCTCACAGCTTTAGATGGGGGAGGAAAAAAAAAATGACAGGACTCCTGCACCAGTCTTCCAGCTCAAAAGCAACCTTTTTACTGCTTTGAAGGACTTTGCCACCCTTTGATCTCTACTGGGGTGTCGAATTCAGAAGAAAAACAAGAAGAACAAAGTGTGAGAAACCGTGTGCTGTGCAGCGTCATGTTTTTCGTCCCCAAATAGAAAAAACAGAGGCTGATGGGAACGGACACCCCTGGAAATGGGCTTTGGTTAACCTGCCTGTGTGCAGGGATACTTCTTCAAAGCAAGGAATGCGACACAAATTCTGTTCACGGCAGGGGATAGACACAGTCGTGGGGTGACGAGACCCAAACAGATCCTCTTTCTGGGCCGCCACCTATCCCCTCCAGAGACAGGAAGTGACACGCACAGGGAGCCGAGACTTCTGCTGCATACAGGACAACTGCCACTCTCCTCATAAACCCATACAGTCAATGGTACAGACAGCTCGGGTCA